AAGGACTTGAGGAGCTGAGGTGGCAACAGTAACCTTGATGTTAGAGTTGTAACCAGAAACCTGAAGTTTGGGTTAGTCTGGGCTGGTAGCCAGGGACCTGGAAGCTAGGCTACACGTTGGCAACCAGAAGCTAAAGCTGTGGCATTAAGATGTCACTAAGGTTTGGGCCAAGAAAATGGGAGTAGAAATAAGCCAAGACAAAGGGGAGCTGAACAGAGAGAACTGACAAGACGGGAGTTTGGGAGGCAAGGGCTGAATCAGCCAAAGAAACTGCATAGATAAGAAAGCATGAATTTCAATAAGCAGAATACTAACAGAACAGTAAAAGTGGCCAGTTTACAGATGAGCACTGCAAAGGCAGAGACTGTGTTCTAGTTGCAAAGGAGTGGCAGGGCAGAGCATTTCAGAAGACCTGATTGTTCAAGTGGCTGCAGCTGGTCAGGCACTGTTCAGGCTACAGGGCACCTGTCTCCAATCCTGTAATCAAGCACCCACTAACACAGAGGCTGCACGCGAAGCAAGAGAGGAGGCAGAGTCCCTGCTTGGCTATTCCTATTTCGATCAAACATGTGATTAACCATCTCATATCCTGGGAGCAGCTCTTCAATCATCCTACTTTGCTCACTGTTAAGCTACGTTCACACTGCAGGCGAAAGCGCATCAAATCCGATTTTTTTTTTTTTTTTTTTTTTTTTTGATCCATGTCCACCCATATCTACGGAGCCCCCCAGGGGACATGGGAGAAAAAAAATTGGGGAGGGAGAAAAAAAAATTGGGGAGGAAAAAAAAAAAATTAGGGAGGAAAAAAAAATTAAGACGGACTTTTGCGAGATCTCGCAAAAGTATTGCGAGATCTCGCAAAAGTATTGCGAGCGCTCGCAAAAGTATTGCGAGCGCTCGCAAAAGTATTGCGAGCGCTCGCAAAAGTATTGCGAGCGCTCGCAAAAGTATTGCGAGAGCTCGCAAAAGTATTGCGAGATCTCGCAAAAGTATTGCGAGCGCTCGCAAAAGTATTGCGAGATCTCGCAAAACTCCAACAATGGCGGCAGCTACTTAGTTGTAATATTACTCTTTCTGGGTCACAAAATACACTTTTAAGATATTTTGAGGCGTGAATGTAGTTGTGTAAACGTCAGATACCTGCTCGGTTTACAAGACATCACATATTTGCAAAAGAGCTCCGAGTTTTTGGAGATCTGACACCCACTAGCTCGAAGCTACGGGGTCGAGACCTACTACAGCCGGGAGGAACACCGCTTTCCCGGCACATCGTGCTCGACCTCCCGGTCGGCTTCGAGCTGGCGGCCACTAGCTCGAAGCTAACGGGAAGTCGAGACCTACTACAGCCGGGAGGAACACCGCTTTCCCGGCACATCGTGCCTCGACCTCCCGGTCGGCTTCGAGCTGGCGGCCTCCGAGATGCGCTAAAACTTTGCGAGACGCAATACTTTTGCGCGCATGCGACTCGCAATACTTTTGCGAGATCTCGCAATACTTTTGCGAGCGCTCGCAATACTTTTGCGAGATCTCGCAAAAGTCCGTTTCCTCTAATTTTTTTTTTTCCTCCCTAATTTTTTTTTTTTTCCTCCCTAATTTTTTTTTCTCCCATGTCCCCTGGGGGGCTCCGTACATACCGATCATGGTATGACAGTGTGAACGGCACAAATCCGATATTTTCAAATCCGATCTGGGTCACTTTCGTATGTGGTACTGAATCCGATACATATCCGATGTTTTAGAAAGCGACTGCTGTTTGAACGGTCATGTCGCATTAAATCCGTCTTTTACGTCACTGACACAAGACAGACGCCAATTATCAGCGCCGGAGAAGCGCCCGAGAAGACATCGCGAACGCTTCCTGGCCATCCAGTGTAGATGTTAGTGAAACTGTTGGGAAGACAACGTGAACATTTTATTTGTACTGTATAATCTGCAGATTCTGACAGAAATCTGCAACTATCCTTTGAAGCACCGCTCCTCTAAAACAGCAATAAGGATCATTATTAGGTTATCTACATTATTATGTAAATAACAAAATAACTTAAAGCAAAAATTGGGAAACGTAAAGTCTGAAGTCTTTATATTAACAGCCATCAGTCAAACAATATTGTTTGCTCTGGGTCTAAACGGAGCGCGTTGTGTGTGACGTCTTCTTTTGCACATGCGGGCCGCTTTGAGCGTTCATACTAGAGCGCGTTTGCTGTCGCATTTTATTTGTAGTGTGAACAAAAAATCGGAATTGAGCATTAAGACTTGCAGTGTGAACGTAGCCTTAGTAGGAGTTGGCTGCATGACAAATGTCTCATTACCCACAGTCACTGGCATGACTTTTTTTTTTTTTCTCTAGTAGTCATTTTTTTTTTTTTTTTTTTTTTTTTTTTTTTTTAAAGAATTTCTGCTCTTGATGAAAGGGGAAAAAAAACGTAATTAAATCTTGTCCAGTAGTAATTTAATCTCCTCTTATCAAGACTCATTTGTTTGCATAATAAAAGGCCAAAAAAAGGAGCACTTGTTGACTTTTAAGTGATTTGCATTAGTAAGTGCTTGCTCACCACACTCTACTGTCCCTCAGCTGTTGCGACTGCGTCACAGTTGCACTTTCCTCTGTTCTGATTTAATGGTGATCAGTGTGCCCACAGTTTTTGAATGTCTCTGATTCCCCATGTAGGCAAGCCCACTAAGAAGCAGGCAAGTTCAAGTTCAAAGTTTATTCGCCACATGCAGTGGCAGGTTGCCCTGCAGTGGAATGAACCCGCCCTCTGACCTTACACATACAACACAGACATCACATGGGGATACAAGTCAGAGAACGGTTGCATTACAGGAAAAAAAACACTGAAATGTACACTACAGTGGGAAAGGTACAAGAGGAAAAAAAAGAGACCTCTACTCATGCTGGGCTACAGGAGGACAGCATGAGAACAGGAAACAAAAAAAACTCCTCTGCACAGAAAAACACATAAATGTCCACAGTACAACATTATAGAGCACGTGACCAGCAACAGCACTGTTCATGCCTCTTCTGAGGGGGGATGTTAAGAGGATTTATAAAATCAGAAGGCACTTCACTGTACATGATGGTCAAAGGCTGTAAACATGCCAGTCATAGTGACATAACAAATTCTTTGGATGAGCCAGAAGTGTGAATACAGACAGTAATAATAATTCATCTTGCATGCTAGTGTAAGCTTAGACTTTGTGTGTTAAAAGTGGGTGGGTTGTTGCAGATGAATCAGTATTTCTGTCATTATGTAACAACTAATGCCATTTTACTTCGTACGTTTCCCGTATCACTTCCTGCTGTTTCAATGCTGTCAAAATGGTCAGCTTACGAAATAAAAGTCACACAACAAACATGTGTGCACAGCTGTTTGTTGATGCTCTGTGAGTTAACAGTTAACATGTCCCACCCACTGCAGAGCCAAAATGATCACGGTGGTTACAGATTGTTTATTTCACAGGCTAACTGGGTTCTGAACAGATGTAATTATGATGCAAAACATTTTAATTGAATGACAGATTGTGTGCGGCCATCCGTATCAAATCGGTCTCTGATGGAGAGTTTTTTGGCCATTTCCCAGGTGACATCAGCAGCTAGCGAGCGACTGTGCTAACAGCGATCATCCGGTTTGAATTTGCTGACTTAATTTGACAAAGTTGGCTGTATGTGGCCTATGAACTACAGTAATTTTGACATCTCTGCAGTAGCCAGATCTCCTAAAGGATTGAAGATGATATTGAACACAGGATTTGCATATCAGAGCATGATCAAAAATGACCTTTCCATGACCTAAAATTGGGTAAATACAACCTAAGATTAATAATAACACATGATATATTACACTGTGCTATTATTTATTTAATAAGAGTTAAGCCAAAATGTACAATCAGTGGAAAAAACTAAGAAAAAAAAAACTAAGCACACTTCATATTTCAATCAATAGCTTGTGAATCACCTTGACTTTGAGTAACCTGAAATTCTCACTTTCTGCGTGACGTTATTCGTTTCTCATATTGTCTTTTAGGTGTTTTTGGCCCAGTTTTCTGTAGAATGTTTCTTCAGTTCATTGAGTTTTGTGGACATTTGCTCATGCACAGCTCTCTAAATGTCCCCCGCAGCCTTCAAGTAGGTTGAGATCTGGACTTTAACTGACTCACTACAATTTCTTTATTTTAATCTTGCAGCAATTCTTTAGCTCATGGGGAAATTAGCGCAAGTCTGGAATATTTGCCCCTGATATTTGAATAATCTTTCTCATTGAAGAATGGCAGACTGGCAATTATTTGGAAATAGCCTTATAACCATCCTCAGACTGATGGGGAGCAACAACTGCTTCTCTAAGATCATCGCTGATTTCTTTCCTCCCTAGCATTGTGTTAACGCACATTGCAAACTGCCAAAACATCTGCTTTTACACAGCTGCTCACACTTGCTGCTGATCAATCAGTGCATTTGATTAGTAGCACCTGGCTGCTACTTATACTCTTAATTCCTTTGGAAGCAGTAAGCATGTACTCAGTTTTTCACTCGCTGCTTCTGCGTTTTGGCTTAACTTTTCTTAATGAATATTAGCAAATAACATGAAAATAATTGAAACCATAATAATGTCATTTTGCATATGCATTCCAGACAAGTTTCTGCCAAAGATTCACAAGTGCATACATGTAATAAATCAATTAATCAATCAAAATAAGACAGATGATAAATAGATAAAATCCTGAAAAAAAGCACCGGTCACACATTCAGTGTTGCAACAGCTTCCAGTGTGCACATGATGTACCCACTTCTTTATGAAAGTTGAATGAAAGGGTCTCAGCTTAATTCTGTTCTCATAAAGCCCCAAAAATACTAAATGGGTATAATTACCTCCCCCTCGCATTGTCTCTCTTTCTCATCGCCCCTCTCTCACACAGTTGGCCTGTTTGTCTCTGCCTTTGCTTTGTTGCCATGGCACCTCAGCATCTCACCTCTTCAATCTGTTTTTGTGTTCTCATTAAAGGCTCCGTCACTTGAACCCAAAGAAACGGCAGTAGCAGAACCTGAACAACAAGATGAAGTCTTTGGTAAGAGGTCTTTGAATTAAAATTTACATGCATATTACATATTGGAAATACTCCCATCTGACAGACGAGGAGATGTATATGTTTTTCAGTTGTTGATGAGAAAATGAATGACAGTTTGTAGTGTGCATAATCAGCTCTGGAGCAATCTAAAGATTGAATAGAGGCCTTCCCAACCCATACACGTCCACTTATGAGAGTCAAAGCTGGCATCAGTCAATTTACAGAATATCCATCATATTTTTAGCCACGTCTGGCTGGTTTTTAAAAAGTTAGCAATGATTTATGAAGGACAGCCTTTCTTAAAAGTACTGTTGCAATCATTCCAAATTTTTTTGTTGATTCTTATAGTTTAGAAAAGTTTTGTCTTTGGGTCACATTCACGGTGATGTTTTGTGTGAAAGGATCAGGTATTACAAATAAGGCCTCTGTAATACTGCAGCTCAGCAGATGAGGGCAGTTGAGTTTGATCCACAGGAGTAGACCCATATAGGTTGGTTATGATTTGATTTTAGGAGTCAGTGCTTTTGCAAATTAGAATGTATGGGATATTTTTGCAACCAGAGGCAATTGCAGTTGTGCGTGCAAATATGCAGACTATGTCTTTTTTTTTTTTTTTAAAAAAGCAGACTAAATCTCTCTGGTGGAGTTTGCACTGTAAGGCACTCTGCTTAAAGAAAAGAAATCAAATTTCTAACACAACAAAATCAACATAGTCCCTTTTTTCATCTTCTTCTTCTTTTTGTCCCTACTGTCAGTGAAACAACTTGAGTCTGTGACGCATCCTGTTGGCTCTTGTTTACTATGTAAAGATGCACCCTGCCAGGGTGAAGGAAATTGTTTACATTTATTTTTTTGTTTGTTTGTTTAAGGCTTCACATACAATATGTGCTCTTGCTAAACATCCAAAGCCATCAGCCGCTGAATTGCAGTGATTTAAGGTCTCTTCAGCCACCTGCTGAAGTTTGTATTTTTGCCTAGAAGCAGCTAAAATACCCAAGAGACAGAGCGGAAAATATGTGCAGCATATTTACTTTCCTCTCCTAAATTTTGGGACGTTTTCTGGGTGAGGCTTGGTGAATACCAAGCCAGGAATGATTGGCTCACATGTAGGGCTGCACTATTAATCGTTAGAAAATCGCGATCTCGATTCATACTTATGTGCGATCTCATTTCCAAATGACAACGATTTAAAAAAAAAAAAGACGACGATTGTACCGCATTTTGATCCGGGACGTAATCTGCATGAAAACAAGCGCTCACTCTTCCTGCTCAACAAATGACAAGGGCGGAGCCTTATACCACGTGATGCTGTGCCGTGTGATGCTAAAATTAGCAGGGAAAAAACAACGGAGAGCACGTCAGGGATGACGAGAAAGTGACAGGAGAAAATCCGTCCCGGTCAACCACCCAAACATCAATAACGAGAACCTTATACAGCGCTTCCCTATACACGTCGAACTCCCGCAGGCACAAAGAAATTACGGAGGCTATCACTTATCACCTGACCAAAGATATGGCTCCCATCAACACTGTGCAAAACGAGGGATTTAGGAAAATGATCAACACCCTAGACAAACGCTACACAGTGCCGTCCCGCAACTATTTTTCTATTGTTGCACTACCTGCTCTATACACGCAGCGTCGAGCAACGGTGGAGACTGAATTTCAAGCAGTACAACATTTTGCGGCAACAACAAAACGTGAGACATTTGTTGTTTTTATGTTCAGTCTCAACTGTTACGAAGTTGATGTGCAGTTAATAAGTGCAATAAATATTTATACTGGAAAAGAAAATCGTGAGAGAATCGTGATCTCAATTCTAAGCCAAAAAATTGTGATTCTCATTTTATGCAAAATCGTGCAGCCCTACTCACATGTATGAACTAAAGTGTCTAAAGCACAAAAGAAAATCGCAAAAGCTACTTTTTGTTTTTGCTTTAGCCACTTTTGACTAATTTTCATTGAGAGCAGTGTTGTAAATGGCTCAGTCACTGCTTGTAACCAAAATAATTACTCAAAACAAAGATTTCAATATCTATTTTAAGGTTAAAACACTGAAATAATATTTAACTTTAACTCTTATTTCTTTGTAGTTATTTAGTTTTTCATAGTTAAAAGAAAATATTTTTTATAATATTATAAATAATATAATAATTAAGTTAAACTGTTTCTGGTCTAAAACTTGAATATTAGCAGCTAAGCTAGCTTTAAAGTTGCCAGAAGGCATCAACCAGTAGAACATTCTAGTCTCTATTTATTTACGTTTCATGAAATTTTTTATAACATGCAAATGCGTTTGCCAAATCACCTCAGTCCATATTCAGAATAACCTTATTCAGAAGCTTATTATTGTTATTGGCAGGTTTACTTATCATTTATTGGCAGCGTTAGCTTAGAAAAGTAAAAATGTTTGTACAGTTTATCACATGGATATTTATGCAGTTGTGACAAATATCCCTTTTGACTTTTAGCTATGGAAATGTAACTTGATGGTCTTTCAAAAAAACGTGTGATGATATTAGCAACTAGCTGGCTAAATGTGTCATCAATACTTTTCCAAGCTTCATTTGTATCATTTTTACATAAAGTGTTGAGCCCCAACTGTTACGAGCACTTTGGTTCAGTTACCATATCACTACTAATACTAATTATCATCAATTATAATTATTAATCCAATGCTGGGCACTCGATAAAACAGCAGAGCAGGCCTGTTAACATTCCAGCTCTTGAAAGCAGCAAACACTTTGAGCAGCTCTGGCTGTATATGGTTCACATTTGACCACATCTTTTCAAAAGTGTTTCAGTCACTACTAGCAACAAACTATTTGCCATTACTCAATATTTATGTTTGTTTTATAGAGAAATAAACCTCCCCTTACACTGGTCACATGAAGAACTCGTACAAACATGTAATGTGTGTTAAATTTGTGTTGAGCAATACTTTTGCCATAGGGGGTGAAGTTTGAGACTGATTGTTGGGTATATGACTTTTACAACTGATTGTTGGGTATATGACTTTTACATTTATGTCTTTAAATGACCCACCACTCAAACCCGGGGGATGCTCTGAAGAAGGAGGAATTGGTCCAGTCTGGCTTCTGCACTTCTCCAACCTTCACACATTAAGGTTTGGGGAACATGCAGTGCTTTAGGCTGCTTTGTGTTTTGGTAACAGCTGTTCATAAACTGAGAGACTAGACTACACACAAAAACAATTAGTGTAGTATTCAGTGACTATCCAAGAAATACAAAGTCATTGAAGCGTGAAATCACTGGAAAAGATATTGGAGTGCAGACGGCACAGACTCATTTTCTAAGAAAGGTCAGTATTGATTTCCTATAATGCAAAACAAATTTATCAGTCCAGCTGCAGTGTGTTTGTATGCATGCATGTGAATGAAGGCACAATTAAATTTTTCTGTCCATAATGATGTTATGTCATGGAAGCTTGTTTGAGTGCGTAATCACGCCTGTGTGCGCAGCACCAGAGAACCACCACTCTTGCTTGTTCTCACTGATTATCGGCAGGAAAGGTATACCACGCAGAAGCTTCATCAGATTGGATCCACTCGATATGCTCCTCCTCCTACAACCTCAGTAATTCATGTCCCTCCTGTTAAACACTCGTCATTGATCGGAGTGGAACAGAATTAAAGGGTCCGCTATTGACATAAGTGTTTTTAAGAGGCCACATAGCAGTTCTGGCAGCTCATAGGTATCCACAACTTGGGATACAGGTTAAAGTACCCATCTCTTTGTAAGGCAACCTAAAACATAAATGACTCGACTGCATACCACACTCATTACTGAAAAGGGAAGAAAAATAATTAGTTTGGTATTTAGATTGATTAAGACTTTGCCCTTTCCATGTCAGCTAAGTTTTTGCTCAGCCTTTCCTGCAAACAGACTGTTTTAATGAGGTTTTTCATTGAAAGGACACCACCTCTGAGCACCTCAATATTATTAATGTGTCGATTCTGCTTTAACTCTTAATGTTTAACTGGATCTTTGCTCAGTCTGCGCTGGCCTCGGGTAGTGTGTAAAAATCATGTTTTCTTATCAGTTTCTAACTCATTGCTGCTCTGGCTTGTGCACCAAGGGTGAAATAATTTAGTACCATTAGGTGATTCTGAAGTGCTGGGCAAAGGAGGAAAATGAGGGATTTCCATCATATTGGCCCAATGTGAGTGGTTTATGACCAGCAGGTTAGCAGTCTCTATTGGAGCGTGTTGTAGGGTGTAGTGGTCATCAGCAGGCATCATGACTCATGTCTCCATACTGCACTTCCTGTTTGCAGTGCTTTTTTTTTTCTTTTTCACTGAAGGGCAAACACCACCATTGGCTGTATGGCTCTTAAAAGCCCATTATGACTCCATTACCTGCCCTAGCTTGCAGCAGGCCCACAGCAGAGCAAAACGGGCCCCCTTTAGCTGTCAGGGTGAGGGGAGGAGAAACGAACAGCAGCTGTGGATAGAAACCAGGAGAGGAAGTGTAGTGTCAGGTGGGGAAAGGCTTAGCAATTGTGGCCTGGTCAAAAATCTTGGGGCAAGATGGCTTTAGGTTGTGTCATTTTTTTCTAAATTGTAGGTGGTCTGTAATGGAGAAACTCGGGAGATCAGAGTCTTGGCCAAGAACACTTTATCACACTAAGGGGCCTGAGTTTGACGCACCAACTCTAAGATTAGAGCCTGCAGTCTAACAGAGCCACAGCTGCCCAAGGTTGATTTAAAAATGTTGTTCTTAAACAAATGCCTGCAAACCTCAGTGAACTGAAGCAACCTTGTCAAGAGAAGCAAACCGAAATTCATCCATAATGATATGAGAGACTAATAAAGTCATTCAGAAAATTCTGACTTCATATTATTGCTGCTAAAAGAGGTTCTGTACGCTATTGAATTGTTACCTGTACCCAGGACCTGACAACAGCCAAACGTTCCTACTAAGTTGTGGGGTCACTTGGTGGGGACTTCTCTGATTAAAAAAGAAAGGGACCTTCCACT